TACATTATATGTATTTTTAGAAATCTAAGACTTTGATAAAACCCATTCCAAGCACCAAAACAATTCAACCACATCAGTAAAGGTTCGTTTTCATAAGAGATTTGAAGAATTTCAAAAACTGGGCTTCAATTTTTCAGCATTTGGGCCAAATGATCTGTTCACACAGTACTGTAGGACAAGAGGGAGCCTCATTATAGAAGGAGCTGAGATTGTTCTGAAAATTGTGATATAAAACACTTGGGTGTTATGCTGTGGTATGTTATGTAAGTACTTTTTAAAAAGGTGAATTAAAGAGAATATTTAAAAATCAAGAAAATACCCTGCGACCTCAGAGGGTTAGTAAAAGTTACAAATAATTGAACTTTTAAGGGATTTTCAGCCAAAATCTTCGGTGAGGGGAGGTGCAGAGTAGATTTGCCTCCTGGTGACTAATGAGACTCATAAACATGATATTTCATCTCAGACACAACGACCGGAGACATTTTAAAACCAGGATGAATTTATTGTAACAACATTTTCAACATCAAAAGCCCTTTAACTGTTTTTTCCTTCAGCTGCAGTTGACAGCAGAATCCACAGGGGTGAAATCGGTGTGGAGACTTAATGCACAGAAGAAGAGTGCACTCACATTAACCCATGTTAGCAAAAAAAAACAAAAAAAAAAAAACATTGTTTGGCACACAACAAATGACTCATAAGTTCAAGTTTAACAGCGTCACGAGGAGGCTCGTCAGCTCTCACATCCTCTGTGCCGTCTTAAAATGATTTAACCGTAGCAGTGAGTCGTACTGAAACACCAGTGACCTGTGGCAACATGTTGGTGGTGATGATAGTTCACATGGGAGAACTCCTTTTTTATTTCTATTTTTATTTTTTATTTTTTTAAAAGGTCCCATATAGTATAAAGGTAGATGTCCATGTGTTGTTTGATTATAGATCAGGTCTAGGTTCTATATTAATACTGTGAAAGTATCAAAGCCTCAGTCCACAGAGAAATGCACACAGCCTGTATTCAGACACTGAGCCTTAAAACCAGCCGTCAGGACTTCTGTGACTTTGTGATGTCACAACAGAGAGAAGCCTGAGAGAGGAGATGTAAAACTACATTGAGATGGTTTTTGGTTCTTAAAACCACAAATATATTTTCTTATGGATCAACAATTCAAATAAAAGCGTAAATATCGGACCTTTAAAAGCCACGCCTGCAGCAGGAAGGCGAGTCTGAGACAGATTCTGTCAGCTGGAAGCTTAAAAAAAAAAAAAAAAAAAAAAAGATCCTAAACAACCTACAGTAATTTCAACTACATCACTGACACAAACACACACATAACGATGACTGCGAGAAGACGAATGTAAACCACAGCTCCTCCATGACAACGAGACACAAGAAGCTGCCACGGATTGAACAAACAGTAATAGTGGTTAGAGCCGACGGCAGAACAAACTTCGATGTGCATCTGTAAACTGCGTCTTCTGAACTTCTTCTGAAATGAGCATGAGGACATAAAACACAGGACATGAAGAAAAAAAAAAAAAAAAAAAAAAAAAAAAAAAAAGGACAGTGTGAAGTTATACAGATTAAACACATCACCTAAAACCTCTCCAGACATTGAGTATTAATGGCTTTTGGAGTCTATCTTTACAATTATCCTCCTTCTCTTTAGATTAAAGAGGCAAAATGGTGTTGGTGTGGAACACAATTAAGCACAGCTAGAGTAGCTACACGTCCTAACTAAAAAATATCTAACATCTACCACATCAGATGAGCTGGAGAGTGTTATATATTAAGAAAATAAATAGATTCTCATTATTTACAGCGGTCACACTGCCTGGTTTCTTCCTTCTTAGCAGCACAGATGATCACAGCAGCTCCGTTATTTCCTCTTTAAGCTCATCGTTTCAGAGTCAGTACCTCAGAGTATGTGAAGCACATTAATGCAGAAGTATCACTGAATCTCTTACAAGAATATTTGCTGCTGTAATGTTCAATTTTTCTCACATTTTGAACCACGTCAGCTGATCAACCCCGCGGGAATCTACAGCATGCTGGGTGAAAGGGAGGGGAAGGGGAAAACATGTGCTGTATGTTGCTGTTGTTTTAACACAAAATCCAGGGGCCAGATGTAGAAACAACACGTACAGAAACCCATTCCCAAAGTATCCTGACATATATCTGCAAGGTCTGAGGAAGATCTATAGGATATGAAAAGAAAATTTAAAATTTTAGCTTCTTTTCCCACTAATTTTAGCTTCTTTTCCTGTGTTAAACTGGACACTTCCACCTCTTTTGAGCCTCTAAAAAAAATCCTTCAAATGAAACCATCTGAGAGGGAAAGTCACTGTAGAGGAACTACAGTTACAGCCTGTGATGAGGGGACACACACCGCTGCTTCACACCATGAGTGCATATAGTTTTCTGGACTGGAGGAAGCCGAGTGTAGTGCGATAAGATGGAGGTTAGACATAAGATCAGACAGAATCAAAAGACACAGCTATTTGTTTAGATTTGGTCCAGTTTCACTGATGACAATCTCCAGGTCATTCCCACACCTCTGCTGCATGTCTGTCTGTCCAAAAATGGCATAAAAGGCCCAATATATACATATGTATGCGTGTGTGTGTGTGTGTGTGTGTGTATATATATATATATATATCTGCTAACTGAGAGCCTGCTGATCTGAATCTACTGCAGATAAATACACCAACTACGCATGACTACCTCATACAATCCCACGTCAAATAACCCAAACTACCCCTTTAAGACATAGTTTGATTCTGGCTGGAGCAAACTCCTCTTCCTCTCTCCCTTCATTTCCTGTCTGTCTCAACTGTCACTTGGCCAATTACAGCAAAAAAGCCTAAAACATGATAATAATAAAAAAGAGAATAACAATTATGTGGCTGAATATATCACGTATTAACTCAATAAAGTTGATGTCCTGTTAAGTTGCTCTTAGGTTTTGGTTTAGTGCTTCTTCATTCTAAAATGTATTTTTTATTTACAGTGGCTTTTTATCCTTCATTTCAAAGTCTGTTTTAATTCATGTAAGTGCTATAAACTAAGTCACTGATTTATTTCTGATGTTTTATGATGTTTCTGAATGAACTAAAAGTGTTAGAAATAAACACAGCTGTGTGTACTGATCACACAAAATGACGACTTCTCTGTGATAACCTCCTTCTCTGCTGTTCTTTTCATTGACTGGTAAACAGAGGTATTCAGGTGCAAATATGTGGTTCAGGGTGTGTTTGCATCTATTTATGGATCATCTATTCATGACATGAGATTTATAAAACAGAACCATGAGAGTGTTACTGTGTTTGTCTGCACACAGAGGTTTACACACCTGGCCCCTGGTGTGTACGACCAACACTATGTTTGCACCACCTCCTCATTCATAAAGGTGGAGACGCAGACTGGTGGTTGTTCAGTGTAAATTCTCAAGCGAGGCGAAGAAGGCAGAATGTGCACAGTGTGTAAACATGAAGATGGGGACCGGAGGACGTGTTCAACGTGTCTCAAAACCTACTTCATGGACGTAATTAGCTGCGGGACGGAGGAATGTGTTCGTCACTCAGCCTGTAATTCATGTCCTGCTCATACCACATGAGCTCTCTGTGACATGATAACATCTGAGTTCAACTGATGTGTGTGTAGTAAGTGTAAATAACATGCACACACATACACAGCATTTAAAATGTGCACTTCTTTGGTCATGTCACATCACCCTCCCTCCCTACACTGCTCATAAACCACATAGTACGTAATATTTATCAGGGTGTGTGTGTCTCCAGCAAACCGAGACATGTTAACACACACAGTGTGCACATTTTAAATGCTGTGTGTGTGTGTGTGTGTGTGTGTGTGTGTGTGTGTGTGTGTGTGTGTGTGTGTGTGTGTGTGTGTGTGGTGAGTGCTAAAACTAAATGCGTGAAAACATCTCTCTGTTGTTCAGTGCATGTGAAGTCTTCATTCCCTTTTGTTAATCCTAGAGCTACGATCCTGCAGGTTACAATTGTGCTAAAGGCTAAAACACACATGATTTTAAAGGAGTAGTTCAACATTTTGGGAAATAAACTGCGTTAAAGTATGCAGCTGAAGTCAGGGTGTGGTTCAAACTCAATATAAAGGCTGGAGGCAGGGGAAGACAGGTAGCCTGGAAAAATATAACAACCAAGACCTCAAAAACTCACTAATTAACATGCCATATCAGCTTTACACAAACATTGATATGAAGAGAAATGTAAAAATGACAATCAGTGCTTGAACTATTTCTTAAAAAAAACAACAGCTGTGAATGTGCAGTGACCCGCACTATATCTGCAGATACCACAAAGATGTCGTTGGCAGATAGATAAAAGTGAAGAAATAGTCCCTCCAACTGTTACATCACAGTTCATGTGCAGGTGAAACAAATAGATATAGCATTTAAATTAGTCAGCTTTATAGGTGTTGCACAGAACCAGGTTAGCCGTTTCCCCTTGAGTCGTTATGCTATGCTACGCTAACCACCTCCTGACTCCAGACATAAGACCGATGTGGATTTTCTCATCTCACACTAGGAAAGAGTGCAAAGAAGCGTATTTCACAAAATGTTGAAGAAATCCTTCAAAGCCATTTGTAAGTTTTGCTATTGCTACATAGCCAACATTAGCATCAACAGCTGTTTACTTACCAGTGTAGAAGAAACGTTGGGAGGTCAGCATCAAACATCACATCTTGTCTTCTACTGAAGTTAGCATGCTAACCAGCTAGCCCAAGCCAAGTCGGACTCTTATGGCACTTTCCGATACCGAGTCACTGTAGCATCCAAGCTGCCCAGAGGAAGTAGCGCAATGATCGGTGAAGCTCTTGCCAAGACTGGTAAGTAAACAGCTGTTGATGCTAACGCTAGCTATGTAGCAAGAGCAAAACGTACAAATAGCTCCTTTAACAATTTAAAATTCTTATGTACATTTTTCTAGTTCAGAGCTTTTAGATGCACATACAACATACAAACATTTGCTAACCACCTCTGACAAATATTTGGCCCTCATATGGCGGTTTTTTTTGTGAGCGCAAGTTGCCAAGGCAATAAATTAAATGAAGTGAGTACTACGTTAGTCAAACACAAACATGGTACTCGCCCTTATGCTTCTATGATCATTTTACATTGTGTTCTCCCAACTAATCACGAGATCATATTAAACTGTGCTGAGTCCAGACTGGTCTCCTCTCTCCAACTGTGTTTTGAGCTACAGATGCCGATAAAAAGTCAGGTGAGAACGTCATAACAAGAGGAGGACCGAGCAACCGGGTAACTAGCTGTGACTCACACCCTCATGGCCCCTTACTGTTGGTCATTTCTGCTTATGGCACACTTTAATACGACTGTCGAGCACAGTGCAGACGTGCTACTCTGCCTTGGATCCCTTGTCCCCAGAGGAGCCTCTGAGGTAGGTGTTGTAGAAGAACAAGGCAAACAGGATCAGGTAGCTGAGGTACATGAGCGAGCCCCACGTGATGTTGTCCAGGTTGGATGGACAGCGCACATCGTGCATCCAGTGGTACACCAGGCCCAGCACGGCCAGGCCCATCACCATCTGAAGGATCTGGGTGGCCGTAATGACCATGGCGCAGGGACGGGGCACCCGCAGGCCGGCCGCCCGGGCTGCGTAGTAGGTGTACATGAAAGAGTGAACCATGTAGTTCATGGTCATGAACCAACCGCCGCCCGCCACCTGGTCCTTATAGGAGTACCAGGAGTAGAGCAGCACGGTGATGTGGTGGTACCAGTGCAGGAAGATGAGGCGCTGCTTCCGGAGGACGATAAACACTGTGTCACCTGAGGGAGACAGTGGAGGAGGGGGAAGTCATTCACAAGGGCTGGAAACTGAACCTTCATACTTTTTTTTGTATCAACTGAAGCAGGAAATTGAATGTCTGGTCGGAATTACAATCTTGTTTTCTTCTGAGCAGATAATACGTAACTGAAATTACAACTTCGTTAACTTTTAAATGTGCCACCTTTGTCTTATTCTGTTAAATGGCCCTGTTCAGACCTGCATTTACATCCGTCTTCATGGGTCATGGATCATGGGTGGACAGCTCTAAGTACGTCAGTTCATACCTGGCTTTAAAATGCGTCTCGAGTGACCGTTTGTGATCACATATCCTCATTGCATCTTGGGTGCGTTCACACCTGTACTTAAATCACCCGAGACAGATGTTAATACCAGGTCTGAGCAGAGCAACACATAAGGATTTTTTTTTTTCATGTTTTACATGTTCATATTTCTCGATGACAGGTTATTGTTGACGTTTGGGGTGCGTGTATTTGATACAGTCTTTATTGAGCAGACTGGGTTCTGGTCATGACGTGATGGATCCAGTTTCTGATATCAGTGACAGTCATTCAGTCACTGCCAGCTGCTGACCGCAGTCCTCATGTTTACATTAGATAAACTGATTCCAATCATTGTTCCAAATCTAGTATCAGTTCTCTGAATCAGCTGATAACCTGAGTTCAAGTGTTTCATTTTTAGCATCAAAACCTTTTAAACACTATCCAGGTTTTAGGTTTGCTAAACTTCTCTGAAGGAGAAAATGCAAATAAACAATAAAATTATTACCCAAACTATCTGCTGTTAACATTCCTCACAGTTAGATGTCGACAGCTTTGACCTGCTGCATTTACCATAGTTGTGCGTGTGCAGTTTTCCTGTGCCGTGAAGAATTATTATAATCATCTAAGCTGCACTTCCTTTCAGTTTTACCTCCAAATAAAGTGGTTTCATCCATACATCTGAATAAAAACTGTCAGTCTGTTTACAACCTGTCTGATCATGTGACTGCTTGTTTTTCTTTGCGAAGTCTTTGTCCTCAGTGAGAACAACGTTGGAATGAACAGAAACCTATAAAAGTAAAACAGAGGTTGTCATAAATAAACTGATGTATAAAGCTCATATGCACAGACATATACACAGCGTGTGTCCTGCAGTAAAGTGAAGCCCTGACCAGCAGGGGGATGAAGACACACTTCCTGTCTGCAGCTTCAGGAAATGTTGTCTGTATCCATCATACACTAATAGAATTTTCCTGCCATCTCAGCATCATTTCCCAGAGCGATTGGCCTCGGTCTGTCTGACAGAGACCACGGAGAGACGAGATTAACCGCGCAGACGCAGAGAAAGCATCTCCATCCAGAGAGGCAGCTCTTAAGATAATTGCTGATAAATTTACTGGAAGGTTTAAGAGCTCCGAGGAACATACCTCAAGACTGAAATGATTTGGTCGTGAAGTTTATGTCTGGAGTGAAGATGCCTGTGAAAATCCAGGACGTCACTACTGTTTCTTCTGCTGCAGGAAATCTAATCTTTAATGGATTTCATTTTAAATCAATTTGGATGAGGGATTCAAGAGACATACTTAACTTCTTTACCCTTTACACAGAGAGAAATATAAGCATTGCATCTTAAACTGACCTGCTGATTTGGTAAAAGTTTTTTAGAACTCTTTAACACCATTTAAATGCCTCTATTTCAATGTGCAATCAGGACCTGTTTGACTTTGCAATAATGTAGTCTTTTAAAATATTTTATGACAACAGTTAAATGTAACCTGCATCTAAAAAAACTAACATTTCACCTCAATTCAGCCCAGTTTTATCTGAGACATCTGCACTTGAAAGTTTTTGGTTAGGTGCTGCAGGAGTGTGTGAACTGCAGCTTTCAATCAGTCATCACAAAGGGCTGTATCAGGACAGGTTTCAGGAGGACTCACCCAGCTCGGGGGCCTTGCTGAGAACAAAGGCGTAGGCCCAGAACTTGGTGACGGGGGCGCTGTAGAAACTGATGTCACACACCGACTGTCTGAAGCCGCTGGTGGTGAGGACGTGCATCATGTAGAGTCCAGTCCTGAGAGCTCCGATGATGCTGCAGCGAGACCACACCACATGCACACACATTAGTTTAAACCACACTCGGAAATCATACAATTCATAAAGTGTCAAAACTGATCTTTCAAGAAATCAGGACATCAGGACACAGAAATTTTCAGTTGAATGACACTCCTTAGAATCTGTGCCCTAAATAAATATGTATATTGTCCTAAGGGTTATGTATAGGCTGTGATTCCTTCTTATCAATGGTACAATTTAAATTTTCTTGGTTGCATATTTTGGTGCATTAAATAATAGTGAAAACTGTTTCCATAGAATTCAAAAGCTCCAAAAGGTTTATTTGTCTCTTATACCAGAAATATGTGAAGGGAAAAGCAATGCAACAGGCTCCTGTGGCTGTTTAGTAAAAAGAAAAAAAGGGAAAAAGAAACACAAAGGATAAAGAAATTGAGATTAAAAATGATAAATGTGCGTATGTCACAAGTTCAAATATGCAATGTGCACAGGAGGATTCGCTGAAGACAACATGCCAGACGAGGGCGTGGATACAGAGAGGATAGAGTTCACCAGCAGTAATGAAAATAAAAATAAATCCCTGCAGCACATTTTATTTAAAAAGTCTCATCTTCCTTTTCATTGTTGCTATTTAACAGCCATTTTCAGTCTTAATGTTCTACTGTTTAAAGATAATAGACACCAAGTTAAAACACACAATTTTATCACTATCAAGGCATCTTTAAACATTTGTCATTATTTTCTTGTTGAGACCTGATGTGTAATTATTCAGTCAGTGCTGATTACAAAACTATATTTTATATACTATATTTTTCTCCAGACGAGAAAGAAACCATTTAAATTTCAAACAAATCTTGAACTTCAGCCTTAAAAGCTCCAGTTTTACAACCCATGACGTAAAAACATCCGTGGACCAGACTCTGTGCTCCACATGTTCATTGTTCCAGCCCTGCTGCAGCCATAAAGACTCAGTGTTACTCATCTCTGTGACGTCAATAAAAGCCTCTCAGAGCTCTGCAATTACAGTATAGTGCCATCACACATTGATCCAGAGACTGCAGGAAGGAATAACAACACTACCACACACACACACACACACACACACACACACACACACACACACAGATAGGCAAGTTTCAGTTGGTATTTGTTTTCCATATTGACTTTAAAATGTCTAAAATATTCATTTGCAGGAGAAGTCGCTCCTCTGTTGTGCAAAAAACATGAAAATCTCATCATCTTCCTCGTTATGTTTTCTAATTCATAAGGCTGTGTAAAGAGTTTTGTGCTAAAGGAAGAAACAAATGATGTTCTAGATTTTTGTTATTGTCAACAAATCCAAGATGGCGGCACACACGGTTGCAGGAGCTTTGAACTCGCCTAGACGACGTCGTTTTCTTATTTTCCTGGTAGTTTTAAGAGTTATGTTTTGTGTTGTTTTACTCAGGGAGCTGCTTCGTTGTCTTGTTGTTTTTGACAATGACAATAAAGATACTTCACTGTCTGTGGAGCACCAAACCCGCGGGTTACTGCGGATGTAAATCTTTAAAAAAGCAGCTCATAAATATGTAGTGTCAGTTTTTAAAAAGGGGTCAGTAACTTCCCAAAACGGCTGCTCCCTCTACTTTTTAGCAATCGTTACTCAAACAGGAGTAAATAGTGCATTTACTGGGGACTATTTTCAGCTGCGGATGAATAAATATTTAGTGCAATATTGAGTGTTACTACAGTGTGTGTTTAAGTGGTAAAGGAAATACATGGGACTGGGTATCCGGTTACCGTGACACCCAAAAGTCACACTGTCATGCCCTGAGTGCAGACAGCTGAGGGGTGGAGAGGGCGGGTTATACCCACTGCTCGGAGGGATTAAGATTAGAGCGAGGGCTCAGTGCACCACACATCCACCGGTGATGGAGCTCTGAGCTCAGGACGGCAGCACCGCCCGCTGCGACCTGCCAACTGGGTCACAATCTCTACAAACGCTCCTGGCAGCGATTACAGACAGAGTAGGCACCATGTTTGGAATTTTTTTTTTTTTTTCAGCAGTGTAACACTTTGAGTTACATATAGCAGCACAGGCTTTAAATATGTAAGTGTGGTTTTCATATGGTAATTGGATTTCATATAAATGACATAATTCTCCAGGGTATTACTGTAATCTACGATCTCTCATCTAATGGCATGTAAATAAAATGTGGACATCTAATTCAAAAGGGCTTAAGTAGAGGCAGAGAAAAAGAGGAAATCATGCAACAATAGAGATGCACTAATGTTTTTTTTTTGTTATCGATTAATATTTTCTAAATTACCTGATTAATTGTTGGTCTTAAGTGTCAAAAAAATATGACAGAGGATAGGGGGTTTTAGCTTGTGAGGTGTAAAGATCATTGTCATCTTTCCTTTGAGGACACGGCACACGGCTTTAATCCAGTGAGGAATGTGTTGGTGATAGTTGTGTCATCCCACTGGTTTCAACGTTTTGTAGATGTAATCGCGCTCTGTGAGCTCAGTTCCCTCCCTGCACTCATCCAGCAACCGCCTCCTGCAGTCTGACTCCGGGCTGCGTCTCAGTAACTTTAAACGTCTCCTCCCCGCATCTCAGTCAAAACATGAGGAAGGGATGAAAGGAAAAGATGTCGAGTTGAGGAGACGCCATCAAATCAGCTGCCAGTCTATCTGCACAGATAATGTGATGTATTACCCAAATAATAATAATAATAACTACAGCGAAACGAAGAGATGCAGTGACGTCCTCCAACATGTGAAATCTAGATAGATAGATACTTTATTTATCCCCTAGGGGAACTTCTCTGACTCTAAAATGATCCACGACACAGGTTAAAATGGGAAAATGACCAATCATGAAAAGAAAAATCTTTGTGATGTATTAAAGTTGTGACTCACCTGAAGACGGCCAGGCTGAGTGACCACAGCACTAACGGGCGTCGCAGGTTCAGCTTCGGCCTCTCCCTCATGAAGTGCTGACCCCCGAACACGAACGCAGCATACAGGCCACAGAACATGAATGACTTGCTCCTGTGGAGGACAAAACACAATAATGCACTAATAAGCAACGGTGAATAAAGTAGAATGGACTTAATTAGCCAGCCTGATAATTAACACAACTCACTTCACACTGTGCCACCTTAAAAAACATGTACTATTTATAACCTACAGCACGAAAATAACAGGAACACTTGAGCTTTCAATGCTCAGTATGTAAATTTGAGAATGTAGTGTTGTATTACATTGTGTGGTGTTACTATTTTTTGGTCCAGGTGTAATAATATCTGTCTGTTCAATAAATTTAAAGTAAAAAAAAAAAAGAGAGAAAAAAGATCTTCATGACATAAAATCATTATGCACAGAAATACACAAATACAGAGAGAGAAATGAAACATCAACTCTCAAATCCAGGATCTTCAATATCATATGTGGACCTGATCCACACTAACACCAGCAACAGAACAGGGACCCAAGTAATCTGGATTTCTGCTGAAGAGTTTCTAAAGGCTTAAAAAGTTTCACACAGAAGCGTGTCAGAGAATAATAGAATATACAGGTGTGCTCAAACTCCACCTTCTCCTAAAGGAGAACATCTGTAGTCAAAACTCTGTGAGCAGTGTGCAGGTTTTTGTTTTACTTAAACCTTGAGAAGTGAAGGATGTTGTTTTGTGTGACATTTAACAGCCGCTACTTTGGGGAAATTTCAGTGTTAAACGTTTGATTCCACCTGTAAAGTTCAACTGATAAAGAGGAGAAAAACTCTCTTTAACATGAAAAGTGTCCAAACAGCCGATATCTTAAAATCAGTATTGAGCTTCGCTGAGTGAAATAACCTCCAGCGTCACCAGCCCTTCATGTACTTCGACCCCTGTCAGACGACAGAAAGAGGAAGACAACGACTTCCCCTGACAAACAGCATGGCGGCTAAACCCTGGATCACCTCATCAGACCCTGAAACACAAGATGATTATACAGATGTGCTGTGTGCTGTTACGTAAAGATGTTACACAATTAGGGTGAACGAACCAGACGACTGCAATTAAAAACAAATGACATGACTTCACCGTCTGCTTCGTAGGGCTTTTTGGCAGGTCAACACATGATGTGGACATCATGGGTTTTTCAGTTTTATACAAACCCCTCCTTCACCAGCTCAGACTTATTTACTCTGATCATTAAGACTGCAGGTCTGAGTGATGAGGCAATTTTCACTGGGCTCTGCTCCACCTGGCTTATCAGCCCCCACTGCTACAGGTTCAATTACAGCCGGCAGCATGAAATGATGACAGGACAGAAAAGGTGACTCCTGAGCTCAGGCAGAAACAGCTGAGCTGAAAACTGAACACTGGAGGGAAATATTATATTCCTGCAACAAAAAAAAAAAACACACACACACACACTGACCCTGCCTGATTTTTTTGAAATCCTGTCTGTCTTTACATAAATGAAGAGTCTGTGGAGGCGTGACATCTGTGAGGCTGTGTGCGTGTGTCTGAGGTGGTTTGGGAATCAGCCAGATGACAAATCCAGATTGGCACAATACATATTAGGCTGAGTGGATGCTGCTGCTTGACCCAGTTAATGCTGCCGGGGTTTCTGATAATCGTCCCTGGTGGATCCCAGAGTGGCAGAAAAACCTGCATCTCTTTGCATTTAGTCAGTCTAGCTCTGCTCGTGACTACCTGTCTAAATAAAGGATTATACTGTATCTATAATACTAGTTATTATAGCAGACTCCGGTATCTCCTTGATTGATCGATTAGTCTATAAAATGTCAAGAAATGAAGACAACATCTTCATTTCACTTGTTTTGCAAATTCTCACATTTGAGAAGCTGGAACCATCATTTCTGCTTGATAAATGTCTTAATGATTAATTACTTAAAACAATTTTGACAATTAGTTGTCTGTCAATCGCTTAATACTTTTCCCACGCTGTTCTGAACTTTTGTCCTCAGGCAGAGTGAGCAGCATTTCCACAGGGCTGCAATATACAGGTATGTTCATTTTTGGGGGTATTTTTTGTCTGTATTGTGATAGCACAATGAGAGAGAGACAGGAAAGTCAGGGAGAGAGAGAGGGGATACCATGCAGCAAAGGCTAGCAGGTCGGACTCAAACCCATGGCCACTGCGGCTAGGACCAAGTCCATGTGGCACGTGCTCTACCAGGCGAGCCACCGAGGCGCCCCACAGAACAAAATGTCAAATGTCAAAAATTTGGCAACCAAGTTAAATAAAGCTGAATGGAATAAGAGCAACATCGTCAAAGGAAATAACTGAATTATAATTTGCAGTATTTCTGGGGACACCTGAGGTTCAGGTGGTTTGAAACAGACCACTTCACCTCCAATGAAGACTCTATCGACCAGATGTTACCAATCCACATTAAATACAGGTACTTTGACAATGTCATAAGATTGTGTTTTCCCTCTCAGTTACATCCAGCTGTTAGCATCATGGCTACGCGAGTATACAGAGCTAAAACTCAGGAGAACAGGGCTCTGGTATCAGATCAGTACTCTTTACTCTCTACAGATACTCCACAGAGTCGAGGTATCAGTATCAGGAGAGAAAAGGCCGAACTGGTGTGTCTCTGATAAAGACCACCTGAACTGAAAACTGTCAAAATAAAATCAGATAACCATCAGATGATGCTGAAGGATTAAAGGAATCTGACTCTGGTGTCCAGCAGCTCTCAATACACACACTTCCAAGAGCAAGTGCACTGAAAGAGATATGTGAGAGTGTGTATATATGTGTGTGTGTGAGAGCCAGATAAAAGGAGGAGAGCTATTGTTGCAGGCTAAAGGTGTGCAACTCATTAATACTGCCTGAGAACAGGAGCTGATACAACAGAAGACGCCCCTCTCTCTCTGCAAACTGCAGCACCACAATGCAACACGGTGCATGTTTCACTTTAATTACACTCCTGTGTAACTGCGTGTGTGTCCTATGCAAAAAAAGGGGAAATTGAGGAGAGACAGGTGATAGTTTGGGCTGAGTATCAAACCTTTATATGTATATATTTTTGTACTGACCACAATGAGTCAAATCTGAATGTCTGATCAGATTCATGATCTTGTTTACTTCGTCTCAGATCCGAAGAAGATTTCAGAAGATTTTGCTTTTTTTGACTAATTTTTAGGCAAAGTTCAGGTTGCATTTAAACATTTAATATTTGAGATGTTTGATATATGTTGTTAAAGAAAACAGTGTGGTTTACTATCAGTTAGTGGATTAATCCATCAGTGGAACAACAGAAAATTTATCTAATTAATCAACGATTTTCATAATTTTTCATTTAAGTCATTTATAAAGCTAAAAAGCTCCATGCTCTGCGGCCGTTAATCACTTGTTACTCTTGAAGGTGTCTATATTTTTCATGCTAAGTGCAGAGTGTGCAGCTCCTGGACAGAGCAGAGGAGGAGGAATGGGAAGCATTTGGCTGCTGCTGCACCTTTTCCTCTGAGCTTTATGACTCTTCATTTGACAGCTCACTTGCCTCTGTGACAGAAGCACAGCTGTACAACGCTGCGGTCATGCACGGCTACATCAAAGTGAGGCTAAAAAATGCAGTCTTACTAGGTTTCCCTGGTGGAGTTGCTCAATGACGGATCACTCCCTCTGTTAGACTTTTTATTGGGCAAGCAGAAAGTGTTTATATGAGAGGTGGAAAGTTATTAAATACAGCTGCTGCTGCTACTGCACAACAATTCAATTTAAGATACTAGTTAATCTGCAGGTTCAGACTAATAACACAAAAATAAATTCTGATGCATTATTATGGGTTAAGATAAGGAAACAAGCTTCCATGTAGCATATAACGTGGTAGTTGTTTTTGTCCAAATACCCAAAAATATTTAGTTTGCAATGATATATGAGAGGAGAAACAGGTTATCCTCTCATTTGAGAAGCTGGAAATCAGAGAGTATTTGGCATTCATTCAATATTTTAGCATGAAAAGTGACTGAAATTAGTAATTGTCTTATAAAGTCTTTAAATTTTCCCATCTGCACTATAATACACATTATTCTGAAAGGGACTACTCTGCAAAATTACTACTTTTACTGATATTGATGCAAATACTTTTGTACTTTTACTACATGTTTGTACTAAATGTTGAATGCATGAATTTTGCTTGTAATTGAGTATTTCTACACTATACTATTTCTATGTTTATTTAAACAGCTGTTAATTAAATAAAATCAAGTCCTTCATTTAGACCATGCCTGGCCTATGGGAGCACAGATGAAGTCATTATCATTGCATCCTCAAGGACATTTGAATTAAAGCGGGTAAAATTGGACTCTTCCGCTTCTTCAGATAACTGCATAATATTAATGAGTTTCAGGCTAAACTGTGATGCATCAATGTGCATTATAAATCATATTAATGCAGGAAGATGTGACCAGTTTTTAAAAAAAACGGGAGACACCGGCGGGTCCGCATGGCCAGCAGCCCTGACAGGACATGAAGTACAGACAGAAGCCCACCACCCACCACAGTCTGCCGCGGGAGAGGAGGGAGGAGGAGGAGGAGGTGGAGGAGGAAGGCGTCGACATTTTCAGTTTCTCTTCTGGTATTTCTGTAAGTTAATTTTCTCCTCTTCTTACCAGTTTTCCTGCATCCATTCCAGGGCTCGTCGTTCGTCGAAACGCCGCTCGAAGTCGTACTCCGCCAGCGGGGAACTGAGCTCACTCTCGTTCATTTTTAGGAGCTTTCTCTTCCGTTAAATTCCCGGGCTCTAGAAGTTTCTGGAGGGAAGGGACGAACACGACCGCGCTGAGCTGGTCGACTGACAGGGAACAGTGTGGCTGCTGCTCGTATATCCAGCTGATATTAGCTGGATTATCACCGGTTAGAGTCCGGAGCGATGGGAGGATGCGGCTCCACCAGATGCACTTCCCACAGTCACTTTCGTCAGGGATACAAGGTACCTATCATGAAACGATGAGCTTCCGCTTTAAACTTTCAAAATAAAACTTGTTGCAGCTAAATAAGTTACTATTGTTTTTAGCCTCTTTGTAATATTATTTTATTTATTCATTTATTTAACAGCCTAGCATATGTCTGCTTCCTGTCTGAATAATAATATTAATAATAAAAATTAATTATTATTATTATAATACATTAGCTGAAGCTGTATCACTAAGAATAGAGTAGATGTAGTCATTTATTTAGTCATATTTAGTAAATTTAGTTATTATTTGCATTTGAACTTCTTATTCTTCTACTCTTTTATTTTTTGGCATTTACCACAGCTAAAAGCTGTGTCTGTAAGGGTCTGCACTTGTCAGTGTGGCACTACATTCTCCTTATTACATGATTTCTCTGACGCATCTCATCTACTAAGAGCAGAATTTTGATTCAATTTCAGACAATTTCCTATTATTTCTTTCTTATTTATAGATTTATACATTATAAGCATATTCACTTGCAGTTAATTTCACATTCTAAGTAACGTGACAAGTCATTTTATAAATTAAAGATAGATTAAAATAGAAAAAAGCCAATTAACAAAGTATTGAGAAAGAACCAATAAAGAACTCAGTAAATTAATTAATAACTGGAAAGAATAATTTAGCACACTTTGCAGTCCTAACTTTTATTGTGAAGGTAAAAGCCGTGATTTCCGCTATGTCTCACTCTGTCAGTGAGCGGGTTGACGCAGCGGGAGCACGTTCTCGGTCTCGAGCATGCAGTGATGGAGGCAGAGGGGGCGGGGCTTGTGTGTGACGTTTAGCGTCAGGTGGAATCGTGAACATTGAGACTGTTTAACCTCTGAAGAAACTCTGAGACCAGTCTGAGACCAGTCTGAGGCCAGTGCATGCTATTACTGGTTTGTTTTATATGTTGGAAATATAGCAAACTGGTAGTGGTGGAAAGTAACTAAGTACATTTTCTCAAGTAGCCTACTCTTCTTAAATACAGTTTTAAGGTACTTGGACTTTACTTTTGTATTTCCATTTATATTACCGCATACTTAATTGTACTTTTGAATTCACTATATTTATTTAGTTACTAGTTACTTTGCAGATTCAATTTAAATAAAAAAAAAATAGAAATATAATAAACTAATAAATTATTAGTAGGTCTATAGATAGATAGATAGATAGATAGGTACATACATACATACATACATACATACATACATACTTTAGTTATCGCCTAGGGGAAATTCATGTGTCCATTAGCTCATGAGTTAATAAATGAACAATAATAATTAGATTGATCCACTTCCTTTGGCTGAGGTGCTGTTTAGCCTGATGGCAGTGGGAACAAAGGATCTCCTGAACCTCTCTGTCCTGCAGCACAGTGAGATGAGACATTTGCTGCAGCTGAAGCTGCTTCTCTGTCCTGCCAGAATATTGTGGAGAGGATGGTTGGTATTGTCCAAGATGGCCTCCATCCAACAGTCCTGAGTGAGTCCAGACTCCTGCCAAGCACAGACCCAGTCTTTCTGACAAGCTTATCCAGTCTTCTTGTGTTCATGTCTGACATGCTGCTGCCCCAGCAGACTGCAGCATAAAAGAGTACACTGGCCACCACTGACTGATAAAACATGTGCAGCATTTCACTGCAAACGTCAACGGACCTGAGCTTCCTGAGGAAAAAGAGCCGGCTCTGCCCCTTCCGGTAAATGGCATCCGTGTTCAGGGACCAGTCCAGTTTACTGTCCAGGTGCACAGTTAAGCTACCAGGCAGTAACCTACATGAAGTAGTTAAAATGAGCCCCAACTTCACAGGCTGCAACATTAGCAACTTGGATCAATAATTATGACCTAACATTATAATATATAGAACTGTACAATTTTGTGTTATTGTGTGAGAAGAACATCTAAAACATTTGCACACTATTTACAATATTCAGGGCCAACCTGTATAATAAGTACTTTTGCTATTTTTGATAATACTTTATTTTGAATGCAGCACTTTTACATGTAACTGAGTTTCTCTGCATTAGGCTATGTTATTGCTACTTTTAATTAAGTAAATATCTGATTCTTCTTCCACCACTGTCACCAGGACAACGAACACTATTTTACGCTTCAATTTTATGCACAACACCTATGTAGCCTAAGGTTTATCTTATCTGATTTTACTTTGTACAAGTGTGTAATGCTGTATATAGGCTGGTATGCATTTTCTTTTAAATAAATCAACAACTAGGCCTACTTTGATAACTATTCAATCATTTAAGTAATTTTTTCAAGCAAAAATACTATGAAAAAAACAAAACACTGACTATAGCTTTTTTATTTCTGGGTGCTAATCTGAATAGATGCTAGTTTTAATAAACTGAATATAGGTTTTGGACTTCTGATCAGATAAAACAAGATATTTTCTAACATAAAGCCCTGGTTAAATATGTTCAAAAAATATAGTTGGTGAATTTTATAAAGTAATAGTTTCATTGCTTATTAAGTCACTTTGATAAAAAAAAAAAAAAAAAGTAGGGGAAAAGTCTTAGTGTAAGCCTTTTATCTGTGTTACTATAAAATCCAGGTATTGCCTTCTCACACCTGTGCAGTGGACGGTTCTTTATCTTTACTTGCTAATCTTTACTGTAATAACTCACTAAAATTGAAATTGCTCATTGTTGGAATCTGTGCAAAAGGGCAGTGAGTCACTTACACTACCTGTGAAGCAGCGAGGTGTGTAGTTACATAACACTCCACTGAGTTGCGCCAGAGCAGTGCAGGACACGATCAGGGCCGATTTACCAACAGGTCAAAGATAATCAGGTTCATTATGATGAAACTGATGTCTGTGACTTTGTTGAGCAACGGGAATATGCACAACAACATGATAAGGGTCTTACAGCCGGTCCTGTTTCATTACCTGATCTTTAATACCTGTGTCAAAATCCAGATTTAAGACCTCTATCATTTTAGCTAATATTATATCCAACTTTATTTACTGAGACAGAAAATCTCTTTATACAGCCATGTTTGGACCAAGATAGGAACAGTACCTTAAAGATGGTGGTTATAAAACATATAGGAGAATAAACAAGATCAAGATATGATTAGAACTAGTGTTTGAATATGATAAAATAACAGCAATAATTACACCACTACAAGGAATACAAAACACAGTAGATTCAATAATATATCCTAATGTCCCAAACACTGACAGCCAGATTAGATAATCCCAGATGTGAAAAAATATTGTGCTTACATGATACATAGTCATAATGAATTAGACTGGTTTCAGTACATACTGTGATGTACTGCAGGAAACTGATGCTCATTTTTTTGAGGGACATAAAAGTTAATCATATTTTTGTGAATAGTTTAATTCGTTTGTCTCTTTGTCTGACTGCAACTGCTTTATGTGACTTGCTAACTTGTATTTAATCAAATTGAAATAAATAATATGTGCACAATACCCCGAAATGGGGAGAAACAAGCCAAACAAGTCCACATCCAAACTTCTTCTCATTTGGAAATGAGAGTAAATTTTGCTGCACTCCACATTTGCAGTCTAGTTAGATTATCTTATAAAACAGCTGTGAGATGTAATATTTGAATTAAACTACTCAACATATCTGTGGGAGTCAGTGATCCAACACTAATGAATTCTTACAGATTTGTGCATGAATTGATCTTTAAATTTGTTTTTTATACAAATCCAAAGGATGACTGATGGAGTCAGAAATTTTCTGTAAGGTTAAAAATTAAAGAATGAACATATGAAGGGTCATCAGCTGGACAAAGCATTACAGCTGTTACTGTTTCCAAACAAGGAATTTATCACCACGCCAAAAACCCCAAGAATCCGGAGATATCCTTTTGAGATTCTTGCAAGAATCTGGATCATATCTGGAGCATGTCTGGAGATTTTTTGATATGACATCTTACAATGCCGTGATTGGAGCATTTTGTGAAGTGTAAACGCAGCGGACTTCAGACTGATTGACATACTTTAACCAGAGAAGACACAGTGGCACTTCAGTGTCAAAGTGGAGCAGCTGCTGGGGAAAAGATTTGTTAAGAGCCTGTTGAGGAGACAGAAAAGTGAAAACAGCTCAGACACTGAGAGTCTTTCAGCAGCCGCCTGGAAACAGCTGATGCCCTTTGGTCCACTTCCACCAGAGTGCATGATGCTCCTCTCTGCCAGCAGGCGGCAGCCAAGAGCAACATGTTTCAACATGCTGCATGAGTGCAGTGAGGCAGAAACTGGATTCAAACCAAAGGAAAACACTTCTGTTTAAGGGTATGTAATCAGAGTTTTGTCAGTTATTTCTTAACTCATTAGTTTCATTTATTCCATTTACGTTTCCTAAACAAAATTTTGCTCAAAATATAAACTACATTGTGAGACAATATAATCACATCCCATGATCGGAAGGGAGAAAAGAGAACAAAAAGTTATTATTTATTTATTGACTTAACACAACAACACACAATATAAAACAACTTTAAATGATCAGATAAAGTCTTTGGGTCTGAACAGCATCTTATATTTACAATACAGCTCTGTCAGCACATCAATTAATTTAGTAAGTTAATAAGTTAAAGAGCTTCAGGTAGAGTTTAGTCGTATGATCATGTCAGTCAAACTCACAGCAGCAGCATTAAACCTGTTGTATTTTGTAGCAGTGGAGGCTCAGAGAATTAAGAGATTGTATGGGGATGAGGATGAAATTTAACGCTTTGAATCTGAATACTGACAGTTATGGAACATGCCTGGTACATAATACGACTGAATCACCCCTCTCTTGATTGTAGATGTCTCTAAATTATTAATTTACTTGTCAGCGCAGCAGTGGGACTCCATTTAGAGTAGAACAAGATCCAACGGGATGATAGCAGGAGTTATAATGAACTCAGTCTTAATGCATTTCAGACCAGTGTAGTACAGCAAATTGACATTAATGTCT